AAAAATGTGACAGACTGCATGACACTGATTGGCCAAGGAGTGAAATCACTGCTTGAGCCATTTCACAAGAAACCACCACTTTTTAAACCAAGCAACAAAGTAGATGGACCACCCTGCTGTAATGACACTACTGCAACAACCAAGAGTCTTCGACTGACCTTCCTCCCATTTTGTAGCCGCCACCTCCAAATCCTCCGCCACCTCCTCCGAAGCCTCCACGGTCACCCCCGCGGAAACTTCCACGCCCTCTAAAGCCACCGCCTCTGTCGCCTCCATATCCGCCTCTGCCTCCACGATCTGCAAATGCATCATGACAGCTTAGAGCACAAACTAGCCTAACAATTTAAGTCTTTAACACATGCAACTACTCTGAAGCGGTGCTGTTATTTCCTATGTTAAACTTTGCGTTTTGATTACAATAAAAATGAGTTTCTTGCATTTATAAAATGACAGAACTGAAATTACCCCAAAGCCTTTAATCCATTACTAAATGTATTAACATAAAAATTGAGCAATAAGGATTTGGACAAGGGGTGGGAAGAAAAAAAAAAAAAAAACTTGGCAAGTTTAGCCATACTTAGAAACATGTTCCTGCTACCAGGTTTCTTTTCGCTAAAACCACAGGGACCATTTTCCAATCCTGTAAACATTTCAGGTAAAAGAACATCTCTGAAGCACTCACCTCCACCTCCAAATCCTCCATCTCCTGGTTTGGGTGCACCACACTTGTTACACTCCTGCCGCCGGGCAAAATTCATGTTGCCGCAAGAGCTGAGGAAAGGAAATCCAGGCATTTACAAATGCAACTGAGCCAAATGGACATGTTCTGTGGAGTTTTTATTAATAAACATTAAGAAATGAAATAAAAAGTTTAAAATCCTCACCTGTTGGGACAAGGCCAGTCTCCTCCTTTAATGTCAAAGTTGGGTCCACCACCACCACGACCTCTGAAACCTGCCAACCAAGATACATCATCAGTACAGGTAACTTAATTTACCAACTGTATATGATATCCATCATTTGAACCCAGATGACGGCCTGAGCAACACCCACCTCCTCGCCCCCCTCTGCCGCCGCCGCTACCACCACCCCTCTGTGTGAACTCAGCTCTGCGGGTGGCAAATGATACTTTGATGGGTTTGCCATTGAAATCCTTTCCTGAAATTAAACAAGCAACAGGTCAGTGAAAACAGTGCTGAAACAGGTCAGGAAATAAAAATACATATCAGGGCTCTTACCATCAAACCAATCAATAGCAGCTTTGGCTGATGGAGGGTCATCAAAGGACACTGTAGCTTCACCCTTTGGTCGCCCAGTGGCTTTGTCAGAGTAGATGTTTATCATTGGTTGGCCAGTCTTCTTATTCACCTAAAAGTACAGAAGATTTCGAGATGATCCGCATTTTTTGCATTTTCTGTTTTAAATACCCGAGTCTGCTGCAATGAATATCTACACGAGTGCATGCCCATGCTACTAGCATCGTGTGTGTTTGTGCTGGTGGAAAACTGAAACCTAATTACACTAAAGTAAATGAGGTAGAGGTGGTAGATGATGCCTATACGAATCAAAGACAGATAAATAGTATTAGCCCTCTGGTCCTCTGTAATGCTTACATCATTTTAGTCCATTATTAGGCCAGGCAACATGATTGCATTGTAATGCACTACCCCTACTGTCAGTTTTGTGGCTATAAATTAGACATAACTGAAATTTATGTCTTTATGCTTCAGGTGCATAAAGAAAGGACTGATCTGGTATAATAAAAATCCAGTCAAATGAAAAGAAATCAGTCTCAGATTCGCTCAGTACCTTAATGATGCCAATCTGCTTGAAGAAGTCTCCAACTTCCTGAACTGTGACATCTTCTCCAAGTCCCTGTACAAAAATGGTGTTGTTGTCAGAGTTGTCCTGCTCTCCAGCTGTGGATGAGATCAGACGACAGAAAGTGTCAACAAACCTCATCTAAAAACAGATCAAATTTAAGTGTTTGAAGATTACAGAACATATTTAGGCTCCATCTTACAGAACAGTACATGACCAGGTTGGCTGTTTTTTTAAGTTGCGACTAACAAATTTACATTAGCTTGTGTTAATCAACTAGAGATGGAACCAACTCAGCAGAAAATACAGACACTAAAAATAAGGAGTCCAAGAGGGTCACCTTTGTGTTGCCTTTGGCTGTACAATGAGTTGTGTGTTCTCTCGCTAGTTAGCCAACATAAACCAATGCAGGTGTATTAGCTGAAAACAACCAACCAACCTGGTGGAGTCTCCCAGGCTGTAACTGGACTCTACACAAGATGGCGCCAAACTCATTCTAAAAACGTAAACACTCGTTTCTTACATCCGGCTCCACAGGCAGTGTAAAATTTTATGCAGCTTATTTAGAGCAGGGCTTTTAGCCTATACATGTTTAACGTCCACTTTAAGTCTCACCTGGTTCATCCCTTGAGCCGTAGTCTCGAGATCCTGGAAAACAGAAAAGAGGATGGAAGGAGAATGTGTGAAAAAGGATTTTTTAACTCTGGGTGAGCTTTCACATAATTAAGCATTAACTTTGTCCCTAGCATTGCATAATGATACCAAAGAAAATTAACCAAATACCATGTTAACAGCTTTCTGGTGGGTGTTTTCATACCATTGCATCACATACCAACACCTTTCAACAGGAACAGAACTGTTCTGTTTTTTTTTTCCTCCCCTCACTTTTCTTTTTTGAACTTACACCAGAAATGAAAACCACCATAAAGTCTCCAGTTTTAGAAAGTTTTCCTTCTTCATCCTGGGAGCACCTCTCATTTACAATCAGCTCTTGTCTCCATGCAACCATTATTACCATTATTTTACATCTCAAGCTCCATGTTCTTTACCATTATGACAAATAGCAATAGGTGGAGTACCCTTGGGATCTGGACATGGAAATGGTGGCATTCACTGAAGTTCCTCTCTCTCTCTCTTTTTTTTTTAAACCCTCTTTTCTTTTTCCTAACTCAAACTCTTTCCTCCCCCACCGACACAGTTCTGATGCTCGTCACTTACCACCGTAATTTTTGTAGCCACCACGGTCACCACCTCTGCAGAGGAAAAATTGGAGATATGATGGCTTTTCCTTTGTCCCAACTGAGAGCTCAAAGCTCCCCTACATCCCCACCAGTATGCACTCCTGCCAGGGTGTGCGACTACGGTGGAAATGTCTCACACGATGAATGCGTTAGTCTTTGACATTAGAGATCAATAAGCAGACGACTAGGCAGCTCTGACTGAACAATCAGGCAGTTATTACATGTCACTGGGGCACCGTTTACAGATAATTTAGTACTTTTCACATGGCCAAATTAGATACCATTAGCTGAAAAAACAGCTTTTTTTTTTTAAACAAAATGAGCCAAATTGATGTTAAGGGGTGCAGCAAACCAATGAGCAATCTTCCACTGAGTGCATTTATGTGATCCTTTTACTGAGGTCCATGTTTTAGTTCAATCACCTGTAGTATAAAATGTAGATCCATGTTAACACAACATACATGTTCGCCATTGTCAAATATACAACACTTGAATGAAACCTGCTGAATGTGAAGCAGCTGAAAATGTGGCTCCAGGTCTAAGTGCATCATCTCAGGGGAGTTTCCACTGCTCACAGTATAGTGTGGTCATTATAAGACATGAACGTACCAAAAACTGGAGTTTATGAACTTACTGGCATCTTAAAAACGTGTGGCTACTGGAAATTTAACTGAGACCGAGATCTCAAACATAACAGGAGGTTTAAAGGATGAAAAAGAAATGTGGCACTTTTGGACTGTACAGGCTCCAAAAATAAAGATTATATTTACCTCATCTCAATAGAGGCACAGTTTAAATATTAAAAAGTCAGATTCATTTTTAGTAACAAATTAGTCCAAAGTTAAAAAAGAAAAAAAAGAAAAAAAAAAAGAAAAAAGAAGAATGGTATGGCACCATTTAGGTTAATATTCCACCAGATATAAGTCTCTGAAAACACCAAGAGGTCCTTTTCAACCTTTGTTGCCAAATGGACAAAGCTTGTGTCACTTTCTGGGTATGTTAGTTGCACAACCAGCTCTTATCTGGGCAGCTGTATTCAATCTCCATTTCTTTTTACCTTAAGATCCCATTGATAGCGAGTGGATCTCCAATGAGTCGAGCAACTATGCTCCAATTAACCACCACTTGAGTACAAATCACACAATCTTAACAGTGGATTTTGTCACCAGCGTGTCTCTTATGAGATTAAACACAAACACACACACACACACACACACACAATTTAAAAATAAAAGAATTAAGGCTCAGAGCACCTGGAGCAGATGTTTGGGGAAATTTTTACCTGCGGCAACATTTGATCGTTCAGGTTTTAAAAGAAGAAAAATTACCAGTGTTTGCGGATCTGGAGCACAAAGCAGATGAGTGGTGAAAAAAAATCCATCTATGTGGATGGTTTGTAGTTGATGAGTGGTGATGATGTGCTTATAAACAAGTCATTTCTCATATTTCAGTTAAAAAGGGTACCTTAGGGGCAGTGGCACTGTGCAACTTACCCCATACCAGGAGGTCCGCCTCTTCCGCCACGATCATATCCACTACTGCGGTCATAGCCACCGCCGCCACGGCCTCTGCCTCTGTAGCCCCCTCCTTCTGAACGGTCTCCATAGTCACGCCCAAACCTCCCACCCTGACCACCACCTTCACCACCTGGTGGAAGTCAGAAAAGAAATTCTTAGCACAGGCCAATTTTGAATACAGACTTATTGAGATTTTATGATTCAGTTAGCGTACCTTCATTCCATCGTCCATATCCACCGCCACCACCTCCTCCTTGCCCTTGGCCTCCATATCCACCGCTGCCACCACCCTGGCCACTGTATCCGCTACTACCACCACTGCTGCCGCCCTGTCCCTGTCCATAACTGTCTCCACCTTGCCCCTGACCACTGTAGGAGCCTTGCTGTCCATAAGACCCAGATCCTTGCTGCCCATAGGAGGGCTTGTCACCATATCTGAATGGGAAATTATCAACCAAGTGCAGAATTAGCTGGATTTCCCCCCCCCCTTAAATCTTGCATTAGAGTTACATACATACAAATCATTACTGGATTTTCCCCATTTTGTAATACATACAAAATCTTACACACTTGTATTATTTAATAATCCCAACTTTCTTTTAACAGACAAAGGATGTCACTGGAAGCGCCTTTCCACACACAAAACACACCCCATCCCTAATACAGAGATATTATGAACTTACCCAGAGGACTCTTGTCCATAGTTATTATAGCTCGGTTGCTGAGACTGGCCATAATTTTCTGTGGAGATGAAGAGATGACATTAACCAAGTTTTACCCAAGTTTTACCCTGGAGAGCCCATGGGGTCAAATTTGACCCCATGGGCTCTCCTGGTTCTCCAGGGTTAAAAGCAACCTCAAGGTTCACATTAGCATTTCACAATTTATAAAGCAATTAACCTGTACCAAATGAGATTGTACTAAAGTGGACAGTATCCTGACCTCTGCTGTGCCCAAGATACTTTCCACCAAAAGACAATAAAAACCAGTACTAAACTTGTGTGTGGACACAGGCGTATGCCAGATCTTAAAGGACACATAACTTAAACACCAACTAAACTAGATGTGAAAAGACATTTTAGTAACTGATATTTTAAAAAAATGTAATAATAATAAGACACTTTTTAGGTAGCCTCTGTTTAACAACGGTGTTTAAGTTGCATTTACATACTGTACCTTGCTGTCCATAGCCACCATAATTCTGTCCTCCATAGGAGCTGCCGCTATTTCCTTGTCCATAACCCTGCCAATCAAATGCATAAGTTAAGCAGGTTTTACGTAAAAATAAATGAAGTTGTACTATTACATCAAGTAGCCAGAATAGAGGTCTTACCTGCCCGCCTTGCTGACCTCCACTATATGAGCCATAGCTGCAGACACATGGTTAAAAAGACATTTAGCTTCCGGGTTTAAATGTGTTCAAAAAGCTAAAACGTTGTTCAGTTACACGCTTTGAACATGTGTATGTAATTTAAAGTTTGTCTGCACATTACCTTTGCGGGCCACCGTAGCCTGAGTCTGAAACAAAAATAATACAGTGGTGTAAATGTGTTTGCTAAAAAGTGAAGTATCTAGCTGTCCAAGCAGCTGGCCTCAAAGGCAAAAATAGGTTACTTTAAGCAGGCCAGCAACACGCCAACAGGCCCTTAGTCAGGCCGAGCCGGGAAAATGGCGGTCACTTTAGCGCTGGCTTAGACTAAATGTTGAAAACGAAACAAATGATCTGCTCAAAATACCCCTTGTTCTTGGCACAGCCTGGTGTAATTAAAATACACACATGTAGGATTACAGTTAACTATAACACAGGATATAAGATAACGTTACAAGAGCAAAATACTTCTGGATCCGCAAGAGAAACAACAGCCTTCGCCATAACAAAGACGCTTTGAATTTTTTTTTCTTTGCCAACAGCCATCCCGACAAAGCCCACTATAGCCACAGTTCGTGTTTTAAAGTACAGCTAAAAAAATAGGATGCTGTGAAGCACATTCCCATAATGAAAAGATGAATAATTATAAACAAATCCAATTATTTGCATGCATTAATGAGGGGGAAAAGGAGCCTGCGTTCCATGAAATAGACGGAGCCCTGGCTCTGGCCTCGCGGTTCGCAAGCTAACGTTAGCTCCAAAGCTATTTGACCTACTTTCTCATCGAAAAAAAGTGCGTTCTCACTTACCAGTGGCCATTGTGTGTACTCTTTATATATGTGTAGTTTAAAAGCTGATGAATTCTGGTTCTCGTCGTGGCTGATTAAAACCCCTGCTTGAAAGTGCGCAACAAACAGCGCAGAGCCGAACACGCCGCTGCGAATCTGTGCTAAATGCAGCAGCTTTTGCATGCGGGGCGGGGCGCTCCGGAGCCCGCCTTCAAAGCGCGTTCACGCCCCCTGCTGGTCCTGAGCGTTAATGACGAAATAGCGCAGAAAGTTGCGCATCTTCTCTGTGATATCTGATTAGGCTTGTGTGAGTACAGCTCACAAAAATGCACATTTTAGGGATTAATTGATAATTGTATTAATGTGTATGCAGTGATGTACAAAGGACTTGAGCCAGCCTTCACTCATTTATATTTTTGGGAAATGGGAATTAGTTGCAGGGATTTATTGAAACGTGTAAACATACCTGGAAATACAGTATATAAGACAAAAACTGTTTGTGTACAATTCTAAAGAGCCTGAAAGTTAGTCTTTGGTATGACCACCTTTATTCTTCAGCACAGTCTGAACTCTTTTAGGCAAGCTTTCTTGTAATTTCTCTACGTAGCCTTCAGGTAATAGCTCTCCAAACTCCATAGTCATGGATTGACCTCAACCTGGAGAGGTTGAGGTCAATCCATGACTATGGAGTTTTCTATCCAGGTATACATTTACTACTTTGGCAGTGTGTTTGGGATTACTATCAAGCGGAAAAAAATAAGCTTTTGTCAATTAGATGGTTTCCACATGGTAGATAAAAATCTGACATTAACTTTCATGCATTCAGTTTGGATGAATTGCTTTACAAGATCTGCTGCCAGTGATTTTCAATACAGTTCTTGTGTGTTCAGGTATTCATAACTGAGCCTTTTATCCCTTTTTCTTTTGAGACCATTTCTTTCTTTTTTTAAGGATCCAACTTTCACATTAATGGACTTATCTATGTGGATGATCAGTATGTATATACATCACTGACTGATCTCCTTTGCAGGTCAGTGTAGAGTAGCAAAAAGAAAGAACATTTCTTCGAATAATGCAGTGTCCTCTAAACTATAGAAGCATTTTTAATCAAAGAACACTTCAGCCATTGTGATTTAGAAAATTAAGTCTTCCTCTGGTATAGGCCTGTTCGATATAAAGATATATATCGGATGACTATATAAAAACGTCTATGGTTTCATTTTACGCTATGTTTGTTTCGTGGTGTTGTAAAATAAACTGTTTTGATGGTAGTGACTATATTCATTTCTATAAGTTCTTTCTCTTATATAACCACACTAC